GGGGAAGGTAGCTTATGGTTAAGAATTAAGATATATGTTTATGAACTTATTGTTAAAATGTTATGAGTTTCTCAACTTTAGACATGAATTACAGGTATTTAGTAACTTATCTAAACTATTTGGACTCATATTTTACATAGTATATGTCGTACTTAACACATTTTCCTTTATTTTACAGTATGCGTCAAAAACTTACGTATTTACGCTTTGATTCTACGGTTTACGATTTTACCCATTTTCCGTTTCTAGGTAGAATCGCGCTTTTGACTGCATTGCATACCGGGGCTTCAGCTTGTTGACAAAAGTTGCGGAGCTCGCTTAAGAACCTTGATTTATCTTCCCCATACACAACAATTAAATTCCAAACATTGTGTGAAGAGGAATCTTGAAACTTAACATTTAGGTAGTGGGAGCCTGCACTAGTAGAGATGGCCTGATACTGCAACTGATCCCAGTATATGACAATTCCTCCTGAGCTATTATTAGTATTCTTTGATGCCCAACCAAAATCTCTTTGACTACAAATATTCCTAATAGTGTCTTCATTGCACTGCTCCCATTTTGTTTCAATCAAAACGACAATTTTGGGATTCTTTCCTTTGCTGTTTTGTGACATTTGTCGGTTGCTTCCTTTGAATAATGATACTTATTTGTCCAATGCACCTAAAGGATTCATTTAGTATCATCATTGGATGTCATTTATTCACATCCATATAGGCCCAAAGTATGGATTTGGTTAAAATAGGCTCATCAATTTGAATGAAGGTTGTTGGGATTTAACAATGACATGATTATAAATGTTAGCAACAACTTTTCCTATTCTTTAGATGGGTCATTTTACAGCATATCTTAATGAAAATATTCGAAATGTAGTATTACATTTATATTCACATAGTAAATCTATAATTATTAAAAATTTATATAATTTTTTATCGTTCTAAAAAAACTCATTTCTCGTGCTTTTAAAAAATGGAGTGAACAACCTAGCTTGGATGGACGTTATAATCTATAACACCTAATTGTTATGTGTGTATGTGTACAAGGAACTTTTACATAGTTGTTGCATATATCTCACACCTAACTGATATTTGGACACCATGTCCAAAGCAAAATGTTGTCCAAATGATTATGATTGAACAAGATGACGAGTGCCCAATCTCATCAATATCAAATAATTTCTTATCTATATTTCGCCCACTGATCAACAAATAAGATTGTCTATTGGGGAACTCATTTTAAGAGCTCCAAAATTCCATCAAGGTTCAAACATTTTCATTTTTGTTCATGATTAATTATGCATGTGTCATAAGAAGCAACTCACATCTCATCCTTCATGACTTCTTCAACTTTCTGTTTAAAGAGCACTTCTTTCATTTGCAATTATGTACTTCAATTCCAGAATGACTATTTATATTTGGTATATATTGATTGCTATTGCTCATGTATTTCACACGTTTTCATTGAAAATTTCACAAGTACAACTTCATTTTTTACTTAGACTCCGTTTATAAACTTTCATCACTAAGTCATCAAACTATGGATGTGCAATTCTGTTCACCTTATGAGTATTAACCTCTTCCGGCCAACAGGCCAGAATTCGTGCTAGTTTTCAGCCCCAACCCCTATGATGTTGCCACCTTCCCTCTCTCTTCCCATGCTTCGTCGGGATGGAATAAGAAGGTAGACCTGCTCCGAGTGTTTTGCCCAGTGTTGTTAAAGCAGGGCCAGACCGGGCAATCCGACACGCAGAACCGTTACCCCCCTCCAATTCGGTCCGATCAAGCTATTTTGCCGCCAAAGGTCAATCTTCCTATTTGTCCGCCAACCGACCGATTGAACTGAATAATTCGTTCGAACCGCCACAGGTCAATCTTCCTATTAATCATCACACAGTGTTTAATTTTGAAAAATTACAAGTATTATACTTAAATAATATATATTTCTATCAGATGATAACCCTTGCCATATATAATTTTATGGTTAGAAATATATTAGAATCAATATATAATTATAATACTATTAATGATTTCTAATTATAATAATTTTATTTATTTTATTTATTTTTTATGAACATCATTTTATTTATTAGACAACAGTTCGTTAATGAGTTTATAACGGCTTAGTACCGGTTAAACCAATAAAGTGTGAACCACTTACTACACCGGTTTGGTTCTGACAATATTAGTTGTGCGATTTCAAGAGCGACGATGACGACAAGATTTTAGGGTAGCAACTAGGGATGTATTCACCTCGACAACGGGGGAGGCAAAGTCGGAGGAGGGCTCAAAGAAGGTGATCGGGGAGTTCGGCGATGGCATGATGTTGTAGTTCGCAGACTTTGTCTGGATGGTGGATGACGGTTGGGACGTGAAGGAGTTTGATAGGGAGCTCAAATGGCCTTTCCCATCACCTCCCGGGGTTCATCGCCGCTCTTCCTCACCCGTCTTTTTCAAGTAATGGCATTCCACTTCCCCTCTTCCCCTCCCCTAATTTTTTTAGATCTGTGACTTTGTTTTTCAAATTTTTTTTTTTTTTTTTTTTGCGTTATAATCTAAAGTAGTATTTTTCAGTGTTGTGGTGCTAACATTATGGGTGTACTGATATTGTTCTCTTGTCTAGTAGTAATCTTTTTAGTGTAGTTGTACATTTTTTAATGTATTGGTATTTTTTTATGAATCGTGTTTGTTTCATTTTATAAAAAAAGTAGCACTAGCAACACCCTTGCTAGTTAGGGAAAGATTGAATCTTCTGAACCTATATTATCTACCAAACTACTAAAAGGATTCATTAATTTCAATTCCAAAAATCCCTTGGACTTCATCTCTAATGATCCTGCACAATACATCACTATCTCTGCAACTTCCACTGAACACCCTACTACACCTTTCGCGCCACAAGTGACTTACCAAGCTATGCCATATTGCTCGTCCAACCTGAGCATTAACTTATGCATTCCCAAATCTCTGCTGCAACTTTTCTCCTCCAGTGAATTATGTCGTTGTGCAACTCCAGAATACCTGCTGAACATTTTTACATACAATCTCATGTACATAGGACATACAGAGAATAAGTGGTCAATCATCTCTTAAGGAAAGTTGCAAAATACACACCCTGCACCACCAGAAAAGCCCCATTTCAACATCTTCTCTTTTGTGTTTACAGCTTTCTTGATGAGTAACAATGCTAAAAACTATTTTTGGGTATAGAGTTACCCTTCCATAAAACCCTTGACCATGGCACTTTCTTCCGTTTAGGTCTTAGTACCTCCAAGATCTTCCTACTGGAGAATACCTCCATTTTCTCTAAATTCCAGTAAATCTCATGTCCCTGTTTTTGGAAGTGAACATGAACCTTCTGCCTTGTCTTCAAAAGTACTTTTCAATTCCAAGATCCAGACAAACCAGAATATAGCAAGAAGTCTGGGCCTTTTAGCTTGTAAGTACTAATCCATGCTACACATAACGAGCCATGTTGAATTAATAAAAGCTAAATGTGTCGAGTAATACAAGCCACATTCCATGTCTCTAAATCTCTTATACCAAGGCCTCCTTCTTATTATGGATAAGTGAGATGCTTTCATCCAATTGTTGCTCTCAGTTTCCCTCCATGCCCCACTCCCCACAAGAAGTTACTACAGATACTTTCCACTTCTTGAATTACAGCCTTAGGAAGAATAAAAACAACCATCCAATACTAGTGCAAATGTATTGATATAAGTACGAAAGAAGCTGTTTCGAGCATGGTAAAGGAAACCGTATCGGAGGTCATACCGGATCCGTTAGCGGTAAGGTATTTTGTGGTACGACCGTGGTTGAACCCTTGTGTATCGGCAAAATACCGTTTTTGTAATTAAAAATATTTTTTGGTTAAAAAATCGTACCGGCAGATTTAGGATACCGTTTCGGAGTAATACCGCAATAAAACCGGAATATACCGGATAAAAAACCTAAATAAACTAAATAGGCATATGTAATATAACAATCAACAAAGAACAAACCTGAATAAACTAAATGAGCCCAAGTTGGATCACTTTTGTTGCGTACACCCTTGGCGGTAACCTTCGAATTACTAAGAGTTGCTCCTTTATCAACCGATCGGGCTTCTTCTCCACTAGCCATTGCTGCCAAAACAATGAAACATCCAAATTATAATCAGAATACTAGAATAGAGATACCAATTACCAAGCAGAGTCACCAAACATTATTCATTGCCAAACACTTTCCAAGAGAGCCTCCAAGACACACAAGTAACTGAGGAACCAGGAAAGGTTAGAGACTCACATTGAATGTGGGCGACAAAGAGGAGAGGAGAGGAGATTGTAGTTGTAGAGCTCAACCAAAGCTCTCTGCTCTTTCCTCTAAACTATCGGTGGCATCTGTCTCAAACACAGAGCCAGCTTTAGTAAAATGGCAGAGGCATCCATCCTTCAATTTTTGGGGATCTATCAATATTTCACTCACCCTACTTTCCCTTCCTATTTTCACCTAAAATTTATGTTTCAAAATAAAGTAAAACATAGCATAGAAAGAACACAAGTGAAGAAGAAGCAGCAGAATACACAGAGCATAGGAAAATAGGATTGTAAAACTCACCACAGAATTGACATAAGCGAGCGTCCCCTTAACATATTTGTCGTTCACATATCACGAGCTGTCGAGCACGAGCAGGCGGTCGCCGACTCGCTGGAATGCTGGAGAACTGGAGAAGACGAAGTGCGATCAAGGAGGGGGAGGGGTAGGCTACCCTGGAGTTTGGAGATCAATCGGCGGCCGGCGTCAACCTCTTCTTCACGTCACGAGCAGGCAGGCGGCGTTCTGGTCTGGAGAAAGGAGGAGCGGCAGGCGAAGTGAAAGTTGGAGATCGAAGGCTGATAGACCGTTAATTGCACATGTTTTTACCCCTATTCTTACACCGTTTGAGATGTTGATTCTCGTGTTTTAGGCCGATTTCAAGCTAGGTTGTTCTTGTTTGTGATATTTCAGGTCTTAGTACGTGAATGAAGGTTTGGGAACGAGTTCGGGGTCGATTGGACGAAGATCGGACATGTGGCGAGAGGCTGAGGATGCAACACGGGCACTCCTAAAACCCACATGGCCATGTAAGTAACCCATGTGGCCGTGTGGGATTTACCGAGCACTCACACGAGCACCCTGGGAATTCCACACGGCCGTGTGTCCCCGGCCGTGTAGGAAGCTGACACGCTAAAACACAACACCTAACAATGGTCAAGTGTAACCAATGAAAGGGACTGCAGTATAGTGGCACAAGTAATAAATATCGAATCCACGGGTCTCTAGAGTTACTATTAATCAGCTTCAGTTCATTATTTAGCAAACTAGATTAAGGATTGATTGATAAACTACTCTACTGACTACTCTACTAATTACAAGTTGGGAACTCACTTAGGTATGATTCCCCCTAGCTCCTCAATTAGGTCCAAGTTGCAAGTACCTTTGGTTGATCTACTGTGGATTAAACTGCGGAAGATCCTAAATTAGCTTGGAATCTCTTAAGCTGACTAAGCCCTCTCAGACAGAATACCCGGCATGCGACTAGCCTTCACCGGGATAGACTGCTAAGGCAATTCACACAGATCTCCACTACTGGAATGAATTCCAGTACAAAGCAGTGAATTGATTGACTCTCGCACAACCAATTCAACACTATCAATCAAGGAAGCTCTCTTAACCTAATCAGATTCTATCTATCATAGGTTAAAGCAGAAATTAAGAGAATTTGATCAAGATTCAATTGAATCAATAAATCATGCCTCAATTGATTATAATCAAACAATATATCATCCAAAACTTCATACAAGAAAGATCCTAACACATGGAACTAGGGTTCCTCAAAACCTAAGTGAAGGGAAGTTACTCCATAGAGAAGAGAGAGACTGCAGAAATCTGATCTAGATCTTCAATCTCCATCTCCAAGCTTGATTCCCGAGCTCCAATGGCGAATAAATCCTCCAAAATAGCTCCAAGAATGTTCCCAAGTCGCTCTCTCTCTCTAGGGTTCGTCCCTTGGGTGTTTGGGATCCAAAACCCAGCTCTCCCCCTTTCCTTTTGCTGAAAATCGGGTTTTAACCAACAATTCCCAACTCACACGGCTGTGTGGCTTTCCCAGCTGCCCGTGTGAAGGCTCGGTGATTTCCACCCGGCCACATGGCCAGGTCACACGGCCGTGTGGGTTGTGCCCGTGTGGCTTGCTCAGCCTCTGTTTAATGCTTCGTTTCTCCCTTGTCCGGACTCCGAATCAGTCGCCGTTTGATCCCAGACGCTCGTAGTCTCATCCTCTTTCTTTTCATGACAAGCTTGCATGATTCTTTGTCCATAAAGTGAGGTAGAAATCCATTCTTCTTCAGATCGTACCCGAGTTTCTTCTTCCGAATCGTCAATTGATCTCTGATTGACTTGAAACTTGCGCCTATGCTTCACTTTATGTGCTAGGACCTGAAATGTGACAAAGGAACACAACCTAGCATAAAATAGGACAAAGGCACGATAATTCAAGCTCAAACAATCAAGAAACAAAGGGGAAGACATGTGCAAATACCGAGTCATCAAATCCCCCCACACTTAACTGTTTGCTTGTCCCCAAGCAAACCTAACTCAAACCAATGCAGCTCTCCAGAGCTCTTTAGCAACATACAACCCCGATCGTCGGTAGAGGATTTCCTAGATCATATAGCAGCTTATGAGGTCAACTGGTCTTCTAAGACGTTCCTTATCTCTCTCAATGCGAGTACTAGACTCAAGCCAGGATCATGAGAAAAAATAGAAGTAAGACAGTCAGTTCATGGATAAAGGGACTCACACCATTCACAACCAAGGACTCGCTGTACCGGAGTGCTCTTTCACTTCATTTCACCGTTGGAACCCCTTTTTCTCACTTTCATTTACATTTTTTCTTTTTCTTTTTTTCTTTCATTTGGTGGGGTTCCAACTGCAGTCTTTTGCACGGTCGACCCTTATTAGTCGAGCAAGAGCAATTTCTGTACATCTGGCGCTCGCCAGAGTACTTCTTTTAACTCCTTTTCCTCAACTCGTGTGGAGGGTCAATGAAATTAAGGGGGGTCGGAAGCTCTATCCGTACCCTTAAAAACACATCCTCAAGTAGGCAAACCGCTCAACGGGTGGAAGTTTTACTTGTACTAGAGACAGCTTAGCTTCACCTTGTATGAGTACCCCACTAAGGATCACTAAAATATCTTCCAAAACCCGATTTTGTGCAATGAACGGTGCCACACACGCTGGGCTTACCCCATGTTTAAGATTTTAATGATTTCGAATGGAGGACCAACTGCTTTTCATTTTCCACATGAGCACCCTGTTCGATACACTAGTCCATAACACAATCCAAACAGAGTCCACATTACCACATGAATTCAATGGTCTTAGCTCCACTAATTCACAAAATCAACTGGCACAGCAGAGAGCTAGATAGGAAAAATCAGCTAGATAGGAAAAATCTTATACTTCAACATCCTCCATAGTGCTACACTACCTCCCTAGGTTGCACATTACTATAGAGACTTTTAATTCAAAGCATACTGAGCAGACAATTTGCAAGGAAACACGTACTTGGAGCCCTCAAATTTAAAAATTTGGACAGTGGACTAGGCTCCAAGCACACAAACAGCCAAACATTCACCCGCATACATAATCGAACATCCCCCCACACTTAAGCACGACATTGTCCTCAATGGAGGAAAGATAAGGAGGGTAGAACGAAGTTACCAGATCAAGGGTGAATGTTGATGGACGGGGCAGGCGGTGCATTCCAGGAAGAGAGAGTAATCAGAACACAAACACCACACAAAATCTCACAAAGGTTGAGTTATTGACTCTAAAATCAAATAACAAAACTGACTCAACCGAGGAGAAATAGAGAAAGAAATGCAAACCGACTGGTTGGGTTGCCTCCCAACAAGCGCTTCTTTCACGTTGTGAGCCGGACGATGGCTCCTAAGTTTCGGTCCATGCTAGAACCTCCTTGAAGTTGAGGTTCTCGTCAATGAGGTGGAGTCGCAAGTCACGAGCATGTGGTATGACTGGTGATGGAAGCTCGTGCACTTGATGCAGATGAAGTCTCCATCCTCGAGATCTCTTCTTCTCTTCTCTCGTCCCATTGCCCCAAACCAGATATGACAGCATCGATTGGCCACCATCGCGTCCACCAAGAGGGACCGATGTTGATGTGGCTTTGGTCTGGCAAAGAGACACTGCAAATGGGTCCTTTCTAAGCAGCTCCTCGAAGTTTGGTGGGGATATTACTTGTATTATAGGGCTGGTGCAAGCCTCTTCCACCTCAACTTCATCCTCAGCCTAGACACCACTCGCTTCTTCAACCCCCCTTCCTTCTTCAAAATGTGGTCTCTCTCCTCGGAAAAGATCAAGAACTACCTCTTCTTTGCTTTCTTCCTCATCCTCCACAACTTCTTTCCTCACCCTTTCTCTCTCTTCTTCTTCCATAACTGATTGGAGAGCAAGTCGCCATGCAAGGTTCTCAATAAGTTTAGCTTGCATCTCCTCGCTCGGGCCCAGCATGTCAGACGGAAATGGGGAAAGTTGTGATCTACCACCAGAGGATACACTTGATCATGATTATCATGGGAGCTTTCCTTGACAACTTCTGTATGCTCTTCAACATCCTCATGATTGTCGTCTTCTTCCTCCACCTCTACTTGTATGGCAGCATAAAGGTTGTCTTGAGAAAACTGTGAACAGGCTTTCTCAATGACCTCTATGTGCTCCTTTATGCTCCGAAGGGTATCCTCTGTTTCACGGGGAAATGAGAAGTCAGTTTGGGCAATGGCCTGGATATGAGGATCCATCTCGGGAAAGGATATCTCAGGTACTGGAGCAATCTGCTCCACGAGAAGCCTCAAGTGATAGTTTGGATTTGGCTGTGGAGTGTAGCATGGCTCTGCTGGATCGTCCGTGAAGGCTGTGGCGAACCCAAGATCTGATGGTCCTTCTTGTTGTGGGAGGAATTCTTCTTGATAACGAGATTGTTCTTGAAATACCCAGGGGTCTGATTGTTCTTCGTAGTAGGGGGGTTGGTACTGAAACCCGACTCCATAGTCTTCTCCTCCTTGGTTACTCCAGGGAGTCTCGGGGTAATACCACTCGGATGGTGGTGGATACCCCCAATGGTTGGAGAAGCCATTAGGATCCATGATTCAGATCTGCACCAACAAAACAAAAAACACCCAAGTGAAAAGCAAGGGTGGAAAAAAATGCTAAAGTAACAAACTTCTGCCTTTCCTAATAATCTAGAAAGTCCCCGGCAACGGCGCCAAAAACATGACACGCCAAAACACAACACCTAACAATGGCCAAGTGTAACCAATGAAAGGGACTGCAGTATAGTGGCACAAGTAATAAATATCGAATCCACAGGTCTCTAGAGTTACAATTACTAAGCTTCAGTTCATTATCTAGCAAACTAGATTAAGGATTTATTGATAAACTACTCGACTGACTACTCTACTAATTACAAGTTGGGAACTCACTTAGGTACGATTCCCCCTAGCTCCTCAATTAGGTCCAAGTTGCAAGTACCTTTGGTTGATCTACTGTGGATTAAACTGCGGAAGATCCTAAATTAGCTTTGAATCTCTTAAGCTGACCAAGCCCTCTCAGACAGAATACCCGGCAGGCGACTAGCCTTCACCGGGATAGACTGCTAAGGCGATTCACATAGATCTCCACTACTGGAATGAATTCCAGTACAAAGCAGTGAATTGATTGACTCTCGCACAACCAATTCACCACTATCAATCAAGGAAGCTCTCTTAACCTAATCAGATTCTATCTATCATAGGTTAAAGCAGAAATCAAGAGAATTTGATCAAGATTCAATTGACTCAATAAATCATGCCTCAATCGATTATAATCAAACAATATAGCATCCAAAACTTCATACAAGAAAGATCCTAATACATGGAACTAGGGTTCCTCAAAACCTAAGTGAAGGGAAGTTACTCCATAGAGAAGAGAGAGACTGCAGAAATCTGATCTAGATCTTCAATCTCCATCTCCAAGCTTGATTCCCGAGCTCCAATGGCAAAGAAATCCTCCAAAATAGCTCCAA